AGGAGGAGAAGAAGAAGAAGAAGAAGAAGAAGAAGAAGAAGAAGAAGAAGAAGAAGAAGAAGAAGAAGAAGAAAAAGAAGAAGAAGAAGAAGAAGAAACTACAAAAATAGCAGAAACAACAGCAACAATAACAAATGGAACCCAAATAAACGATGGAGATATTGACAATGGCAGCAACAATATAAAAAAAAACCCCAGCATTTGATTAATATTAACAACGTCTACTTTATTTATTTATACACGTGCATCATCAAATAATGAAAAATAAATATCATTCAGATACGCAGGGAAGGTGTACAAATCAGCGAGGAGATGAACAAATAGTGGAAGGGTGGTGAGATTCACCTCAATGGCTAAGGATCTGCAGGTGTTCGTGTTGGGGAAAGGGGTGAGGAAGGAGAGATTCACCTAAAGTTTAGGGTGTCTTGGGTGAGTGTGTATGTGTGGGTTTTTTTTTTTGGGGGGGGGGGGTTGTTGGGTCTGGGGTACAAATCTGAGTTCCTACAATGTCAAAATGACATTTGAGAAGTAAGGTTATATCTTATGCAGACTGTTGTTTGGTTTTCATTTTCAGAAGATCTCGAGGCGTCTTCAAAATGTCTTGTTTTTAATCTACATGTACATGAGTTTCTCTGGAAAATATACTGCAGTCATGGACCTGTGAATCTGAAAACAGTTTGGTTTTACTATGATTATGTACTGCGGTGTTTTTAAAAGGAAAGCGTAAGGATTTTTTTATCACAATCATGAAGTTACACACCTAAAACAGAAATCAGCTTGCGTGGTTTGCCATTCATTTCTTTACTTGGTTTCTCTAAAAAGACTACCTATCATGATGACTGTAAGTAAACTGATCTTATTTCCAAAGTCTGGTAACGTTTAATGTCAAGACAGGGTGAGATCAGGCACTCTTCAATATGTGGAGCATATTGAGTTAATAGTTGTCATTTGTCTTGCTTTTGATGTGCAAATACCTATCTAACTTGAACAGAAGTCGAAATATTTGTAATTGAATGAGGTGGTGCTGGCCATTTGTCAGAAGTAGAATTAGCAAGAAATTGACTATCAAAGCCAAAGTATGGTGACTTCCAAAGCTTGAATGTCCTTAGAAATAATAAGTTCACGTTTCTGTGCTTTGATCAACGTTTTTCCGTAAAATTCACACTCAAAATGTGTTTTTACATGTGCATAAAAGGCGTTGAGGCCCCTCCCCCTTACACATCCCCAGTAAAAACCTGAGATTCGAATTATAGACAGGCTTGAGTTGTCCTTCGTGATAGGGATACCTTTTCTCTCGCGCCTGGAGCAATGAAATTGCTACGAGTCTTTCACAGCCTTGTTTGCCTTTCCTTTTATAGTTGAGAGTTAAATGTTCAATACCGTTATGCCTATTCAAATGTCACAGAAACCTCACCTGTGGCGGATTGGTTAAGAAGTTTGTATATTGAAATGGAATAAACTATCATAAAAGAAAAAGAAATACGGCTGTCTTAGTTTCCAGTTCATAACGTTTCTTCCTGATTATCGTTCCCAGCCCCACCTGTAGAAGCAGACGCACTGCTGTAGCATTCCTCCCTCTCTATGATCACGTGAACATCCTTATGCTCATCTGTCCGGTCAGCCGTGGACTTCATCTGGTCCAGGAAACTGTCATCGCCCTCTATGCTCGGCAGCTGACCCCCTCCATCACTCCCTGGTGTAAGAATATCTCCATCCTCCCCCGGCCCAGTTTCCATAATAACATGTCCGTCAACCACTCCGTTAGGAAGTTTCACTTGGCCAGTCACAATCTCCTCGTCGAAGGTCCCTGCCCCTGCCCCTGCCCACTCTCCGCTAACAGTGGATTGCTTTTGTGGACTTTTTACTTCAGTCACACGATCTTCTTCGCCGTTTTTATCCACATCTTCATCGTCTTTTTGAATAGTGGTCCAGCTGGCTCGGGATCGTGTGCTCCTGCCGTGTCGCCGACTGTGGAGACTTGGGGTACGGCTAAGAGAAGGTGTTCCGACAATGACGAATTCCTCCAAGTCTTTGTGCAGAGCCACGTCGGAGTATTTACTCACAGATCTACTTCCTTTTGTTTTATTCATTTCAAACATCATCTTGAGTAAGACGGTGTCGGTACAGTGAGACGAAAAGCCGTCTACCTGAGGAACCTGGGGTATGTGTGAAAGAACTGCGTGGGGGTTCGGGGGCAACGAGCCCGTCACAGAATGCCCACCAACTCGGGGGTAGATCTTGTTGAAGTGGATGTAGCTATCTACAGAGTTAAACACATAGCGGCCTTCCTCAGACAACGCTTTCCTTTCTCTTGTTTTTAAGTTTCGGTATGGGTTGTTATAGTTGACCCGTCCATTCGCGTCTTCCTTCTTGACGTACTGCGCGAACGTCTTCAGCTTCACTATCTCTTCAGGGCTGGCGTTCGCCGGAAGTTGTGGCCCGGACTGGGATACCGTCAGACATTCTTTCAGCAAGGTCGGATCTGACGTCACGAAGGACATTTCTCTGGAGTCTCCCCGTGGCCACTGATGACGCCGTCTGGAGAGAAGGCTGCCCGACAGGCTCAAATCACTGTTAATCCCACCAAACGTATGAGACCTTGGGAACCCGCCCATGAAATACTCGCTGTCCAGCTCAGACGGGGCCAGGACCCGAGGTGTCTGGAGCTGGTGTCCGGTCAGCGAGAAGGAGCTGTTCCCGCCATGCGAGGCCAGACCTCTGGGCACAGTGCGAGTGCCCGGCGGGAGATAGTATGAGTCCTCTCTCTCGAAGCTTGGGCTCATGGTCGTCGGCGCCGGGGTTGGTGGCAGCTTGACAGTTCCGTTGCTTGCTCCCCCGTTTGGCACTTTGACGACGGAGTTGGGCGGGGGAGGACCTAGGAAGTACATGGGCATGCTCGCCGGAGGAACTTTTCCTACGCTGGAGTACACAGCGCTGTTGGCGTCGCATTCCGCACTCCGCACTGGACGGAACACTCCGCTGACGTCACGGGGGTCAACTGAGTAGCCCAAATCAGTTACCGCCCGATGTCGCGCTCTGTAGACTTCTTTCGCGGAGGTCTTGTAGTGACCCACTCTCTGGTGGGGGGACATGTCTTGTGGGCGTATCTCATAATGGTCTCCCGCCACCGTCCTGCCTCTTAGCAAGAACTGCGTGTGTGCGAGCGGCAACGATGCAGTGCTTCCATTTTGTTTGTTATTACTGTTACTATTGTTATTGGTATTTATACTATTATTACTATTGTTTTTGGTGTTGTTGTTGTTGGGGTTGTTGTTGTTGTTGTTGGTACTACCAATGAGAGCAGGGCTGCTGTCGTAGCTGGTGAGACCTCTGTTCGCCTTTTGGACGCGTTGTAAGTAGTCGAGTCGCCGGGAGGCAGCGCTGCTGGGGCTGGAGTGAGAGACGACGGAAGCTGGAGCTAGAGTGTCTCTCGTGGACGTGTTAGGGAGGAAGAAGGTGCACTGGTCCTGGTGGAAGTCTACGCTGGGAGCGACGGGCCGCCGCTGGTCGTGTGCGTAACGGGGTGCGGCGCTGCCCTGCAGAGAAAGAAATAGAAGAGGGGAAATGTATGACTGTCTTCGTTATTTTTTATGAGGGATCTGGAGTGGAAAGAATTGCGGGGTGGGTCAGATAGTGGACAGTTTTGTTTCTTACAATTGCAGTATGCAACAGAACAATGGATATAAAGAGAGCAATTAAAAAAGAATCACAAATCAACTGTGTGATTTGAAAGAATTAAATGTAGGGTTTTCACTCCCCCATCGACACACCTTAAAATGGGCTCTAACTTTGCCTGTTAAGGTCAACCCAAACAGAGAAGGATACAATATCCTAGCAGAAAGACAGTTATTCTCAAGGAAAATGATCCCCACTCCAAACTCGAACAAGGGTCTCTTGTGTAAGACGGAGAATTACTTTACCCCGTGAGTATCGGACATGAGTACAGTACTTGTGATACGAACAACCAATCTCTTAATTGGGTCTTTGTGATGGGTAGACTGTTTTTTTCGCCGTACCTAAAAGCAAAGTCACGTGAGTGCCTATTTCATTACTGTCACATGACTTCGTGTGACGTTATTCTTCAACCGAGTTATTTTTTTTTTTTTACTTTTTTCTTTTTTTGTTAGTGTTTTACAGTGCTCGCAACTGCATAAGGTCATATGAGCGCGCAGGACACATCAAACATTTTCAGTTGGTAGGAAATTTTGAATTTTTTCCCGGTTGGAGGCCGAAGCCCACTGTTATCCATTTTGGACCATCAATAGATCTTTAACGTGGGTAACTTGCATACGCGTAATCTTGATCCGCAGTTTGTGGGTTATTGAAGAGATAAAATATAGCTTGATGTTGTATGGTCCAATAGCATTTTAAAACGAAGGTATGTACTTTTAAAAGTGTATCCTCCAAACTTTTGTCTATATCTGACAGAAAGGAGCCAAATGAGTGACACAAAAGCTCAAACAACCCACGTTTCACTCTCTGAGAACGCAATGGATACATTATGTCCGACCAGCAGCAGCCAAAAGATAATTTTGTTTGCCATTTCGAAACCTCTTTATCATAGACACATCAGAATCATGAGTTTGCACATTTCATAGAAAATGCATTTCGATGCTTGACTTTTAAAGTTTGAGATAAAGAAAAAAAGAATTGAAAAATCTGTACGAGCAACGAAAATGTGTCCCAAAACAACGAGTCTTCAAGCTGTGTAGAATGGCGAGATTGCGCATCCCCAATGAGTTAATGATCCTTGCAGAGGTTTTGAAAGCAGGTCTCGTTCAGTTCTGTCCATCTACATGTACCAAGCTACAAAGTACATGTTATGAAATAAAAAAAGAGAAACAACAAACAAATAGGTAAACTAAAAACTGAGAAAGTTTTCAAACTTAAAGTAGAAAAGGAAAGGTTTTGAAACAAAACATCAGAGCGACACATAATAGAAACAAAAGGCAACACAGTTATACAACCCCCTCCTCCCCCCCATACACACACACACAATATACATGCCCACGAATAGACTAACACTAACACATAGACACAATGCACATATTCTCTCTCTCTTTCTCTCTCTCTCTTTTTCACTCTCTCTATTTCTTCCTTTCCCTCTCTCTTTCACACACACACACA